TTTCTTTAATTATTATTGGGGCTGAATTCTATCCCATCAATTAGATATATCAACAAATCCTTTTTGTGAATCATTAATTCATGTTTCTCTATTAATTTACTAGAATTAGTGCTTTTCTTATCATTTTTAATAAATTCTCTATTTTCATTGTCCAATATGCCTTGGCAACATGTGGCTATTTAAATTCAAATTAATTAAAAAGAAATTTCAGTTCACTAGCTACATAAGTCACATTTCAAGTGTTTAATAGCCATCTGTGGCTAGTGATCACCATATTGGACAGTACACACATAGAACATTATCACAGAAAGTTCTATTAGACGGAAACTTCTGTTGTTCTATATAATAACAAGACATCACATAGACTGTAAAATTTGTCAGTTTTCTTACACAAAGATCCCTGGATATTAAATTCAAAGCATTGCTCATGATGTGGGAAAATTACTGTAGAATAGACACCTAGTTACACAGTTCAGTTCAGACAAGGTTAACCTCCGCATAGAATCTTTATAAAAGCAAGCCAAGTTTCTTTTCAGAAGTAGACAGGTACTCCTTTAAGAGATCATTACTAAGCTTTCACTAAGTTATAAGTCAGTTACACAAGTTCCTGTCCAAACTTAAGAGTTGCAGGTAAAGTTTGGCTACAGGTATCCAGCAGGGAAGACTTACAAGGCAGAGCAAATAACATAAATTATAACTGTCAATTATGCATCAAGCATTTAAAAAACAAATTTCCCCATTCTCTTCTGACATCAATCTACTACCCATTCAAAGAATTCTACCTTTGGGAATAGCAGAAAAAGAAGGATGGAATAGTCTGGTAAGAGATTTAGTGGTTAAGAACATGATTCTAGAGTCAGAATGCCTGAGTTCAAATGCACTTCTGTCACTCATTACCAATGTGATGCTGGAAAAATGTACTTAACATTCCTTGTCTCTGTCTAAAAGAGATAATATAAGGCTACTGAGAGGATTAAATGAATTATTTAAAACCACCAGACATGTACTAAGCTTTTAGTAAATGTTAACTATTACTTTTAGGCTACTCTTACAGTTTGATCCTATTTCTCTAAATCAAATGCATGGTGGTCTAGAGCTGGCAATCATCTCTGAGATTATGGTATTTCAGATAAAATAGTAAAAGTTAAGTAATACTATCATTGAACGTACTATATATTACATGGTGCTGTTAGACTTTTTTACAGCACTTTCACGTATTTCATGTTGAATTACAACAAAAACAGTTACAGTATTACTCTAGTTTTAAGAGAAATATGCTGTTAAAAGTCAGATGCAAATAATGAAGCTTGATCTAAAATTCACAAGTACTCTAAAAGTCTTTTCATCATAATAGCAACAGATAAAATAGAAATAAGTTTACTGAGAATCTGATCAAACTTAGAATGGCAGTAACTTTGTTATTATGTAAAATTATTCTCGCTGAGAATCGTTAAGAAACCTCAATGCAGAGATCTTCCAGACCACTAAATGGCTGCTATAGGAAGACAATAAAGGCATTTAAAAAATGGGTTTAATTAATGCAATGATCAAAATTCAAGGAGAACTATAAATGAAAAGAAAGGCAATGATAAAATAGATAGGAGACTCTCAAAGGAATGTGGGAGAGCACTGGATAAAAAGAATTATAACACTAATTAAATCTTTACATGAACAATCCAGTATTATAATATGACTAGTTATAACATGACAATTGGCTACAGACAACATAATTTACAAAAAGGCTAATGTATGGCATTCACTTTAATATACATTTGTTCAATAAATGAATTACCAAAACTCCAAGATTCATTTAAGGAGTGAGGAATAAAAAAGGCTCTACCTTGTCAATAATGGACTGCATATGAGATTTGTGAGACTGGTCTCCGTAAAGCAAAGAGGACCACTGGTCTGGTGCAATTCGTAAGCCTGCTTCCATAGCAATCTGCACTATCTGGGAGTCATGTTCCCGCCGCAGAGCTTCATAGGTTCTAAATTCTTCTTTCAGCTGCATCAAAGAAGAGTCTTCATCACGTTTGGTGACCTAATAAGACACAAATAATCTCACAATAAGGTAAAAAAACAAAATGAGCTTATACTTTATATAAACATATATGGATAACATAATTTTTAATGTAACAAATTTCTTTCAGTAGCAATAGCAAGGTGAAAATGAAATACATTGCCTGCAAAATATTTTCCCCTTTACAGATGTCAAAATTTTCTGGATAGAAAGAATGAATACAGATTGAGTATACCTCATCTGAAATGCTTGGAGTGGATGTGTTTCAGATTTCAGATCTTTTCGAATTTTGGAATATTTGCATTACACAGTTGAGCATCTCTAACCTGCAAATCCAAAATGTTCCAATGAGCATTTCCTTTGAGTGTCATGTCAGTGCTCAAAAAGTTTCATACTTTGGATTTTCAGATTAGGGATACTCAACCTGTTATGTGCTGGAATGAAATCCAAAGATTTCATACACCTTAACATATATAGCAGTTTAAACTGTATGTGTATCTGCATCTTTGAAAAGAAAAAAACATTTATATAATTATGTATTTCAAAAAGCAATGTTATATTTCTTCTCCATAAATGTGTATTATGACTCTTGGGCTTGCCTGGCATTGAGCTAACTGGTATTGAAAACTGAAGAGCTTCAGATGCTGATGTGATTCTAAAGACAACTAAATTGTATTAGGTCATTAAATATGAAATGTCTGATTTCAAATCAGAAGTTTAGTTTATTATATCTCAAACAAGCAGCAGTACAATTAATCAAAATATATGCCTAAACTATCGACAGTTTTGCCATCTTAACAGTAGCTTGTTTATGCCAGCAGTGACGAAGCCTAGGGAGTAAGCAGTGATGAAATCACGAAAAGCATTTTCCACAGCTTATCGAGAATTGAATATTTTTCCTTCCAAGAAGTGGTCCAAAGCCTGGAAGAAGTAGTAGTGAGCTGGTGCAAGGTCTGGTGAATACAGTGTATGACAGAAGAGTTTCCAAGTCCAGTTTCTGTAGTTTGAGCAGCACTGTTTGTGCGAAATGTGGTTGAGCACTGTCTTGCAAGAGGATTGGCCTGTCTCTATTGACCAATCTCAGCTGTTTAATCCCAAGTATCCTCATCATTTCGTCCAGCTGGTTGCAGAAGACATCCGCTATTTAACTGACTGACCAGGTTTCATGAGGCTGTGGTGGATAATACCAGCACTAGATCAACACAGACACCATTAGCTTTTTTTTGACAAACATCTGGTTTTGGACTGTGTTTCAGCCTTCAACTTTATCGAACCATTGTGCCGAATGCTCGCGACTATCAATTCATTTTTCATCACACCTAACAATAGGTGTAGAAATGGTTCACCTTTATGTCGTGACAACAAAGAAAGGTAAGCTTACAGACGATTTCTCTTCTGACGCTCGTTTAATTGATGAAGAACCCATCTGTCCAGTTTCTTTACCTTGCCGATTTGCTGATTTCAAATGGTCCAATGTTGTTGGAATAGTAACCTCAGACCTCGCTGCTAATTTACATGCAGATCAAGTTGGATTCACTTCCACTTCAGCTTTCAGCTCATCATCATCCACCTTGGTCTCAGGTTGCCCACGTAGCTCATTTTCAAGATTAAAATGACCAGAATGGAACTTCTTAAACCATTGACATACTGTGTGTTCATTTGCCGCATCCTTCCCAAACACTTCATTAATTTTTTTTTTTTTTTATTTCAGGGTA